ATTTTAGGGAAAGAAAGAAAGAAAGAAAGAAAGAAAGAAAGAAAGAAAGAAAGAAAGAAAGAAAGAAAGAAAGAAAGAAAGAAAGAAAGGACGGAGGGAGGGAGGGAGGGAGGGAAGGAAGGAAGGAAGGAAGGAAGGAAGGAAGGAAGGAAGGAAGGAAGGAAGGAAGGAAGGAGGAAAGAAAGAGAAAACCACATCTACATTATTGATGAGAAGACTTGTCAAACTATCCAGGATATTTGATCCAGGACCAATCAGTGTTAATTCTTGTGATGATTTGGGATAGTTAAGAAACCATGGTAAATTTTCTGAAAGTTGTTAACAATAAGAGTTTGTTAACAGAGGGCTTCAGAAAATTCATCTTGTCTTTTATTTATTATGACTGTTCTTCTTGCGAACTATCTTGTTAGTAATATAGTATATAGATGACAGGTTAACGACTTGTAAATAGAATTAGTAGTTTACAATTCTTTGGGCCTGTTTCACAAGCGATGGGAAACTAATATGGAATCAGACATATGGAGGTCTTCCAGATAACCACTACTGGGATACTGGAATCCTACCCTTATTCATCATTTATTGGATGTCCTGATGATGTCTATAAGATTCAATAGGCATCCCAATATTTCTGTATCTTTCTGTTGTCCCCTTCCCCAAGACCTGTCTTAAAATTGCTTTCTCACTCCATGGTCCTTCTATGAAGTTACGTTCAAAGAGTTTGTTCTCCCAGGGCCTTCTTTGACCATCGTTTCTCTTCCTCTGTGTACCCATTCAGAACCAAACATCTAGGAAGCTTTTGTTGTGTTTACAAGATGCATAGAGAAGAAAAAAGGAGGAAGTGTCATCAGTTATGGGACCCATCCATAGTTGAGATGCCATGGTGGAGGCACCAGGGGGACAAGTAGAACAGGCAACATTAGAGCATAGCAAGGAACATCCCTGATGCCTATGGAGATTCAAGTCATCTAAGTCACAGTTGTCATCCCTGATGTTTCAGTTATTTGGTCACTTATTCAAATGGATGGGTAAGCGAGTCAATAGTAATTACCACTTTCTATAAAGGAACAATCGAAAGCATCCTGTTGTATTGCATTACTGTGTGGTTTGGAGGTATTATTACTGGTTCCGATAGGAAGGCAGTGCAGAGAGTGGTGAGGACAGCAATATATATATATATATATATATATATATATATATATATATATATATATATATATATATATATATATATATATAACATATACACACACACATACATACATACATACATACATACATACATACATACATAGGACAGGGCATGTAAGCGCTGGAGTATTGTCTGGAATGCTGCACATCCTCTCCATGACTGGTTTTGTTACCTTCCGGCAGAAGGCTTCGTGGTACCCGAAGAACAACCAGATTCTGTAAGAGCTTTGTACCATATAGCATCAGCCTTGTTAACGCTCAAGGCTCTTTTCCGCTATGTGTATTCAAAATGGACAATGATTAATATGTATCTATATCTCTATAGATGTGTGTGTGTGTGTGTAGTGCTGTATACTGTGTGTGCAATTGTGCACGTATGGATATGTACACACACACATTCTTTTAAAAGCGGGCCTGAGAATTTCATTTTTTAATGTGTGCGTGTGTTCACAGAAAAAAGTGACAATAAAGCTTCTCTTCTCTTCTGCCTTCTCTTCTCTTCTCCTCGTCTCTTACCTTACCTTATTTCAACTGGATGAAACACATCATAATAGTAATGAGAGGACAGATATCCAGGAATTAATCTCTACATTTTTAACACCTAAGGCTTGGATAAGAGGAGGAAGTCTGTTGTCTGAAAATACCAATCAAGTCTCTGAATCTTACAACCCCAGCAACTGATATAGTCAAACTGCCCTCTTCAGGAGAAAGCTGCTTCAGCGATTTATCCCTCACAAAGCAAACAGAACTTTGATAAGGTATAGATACCGTACTTTCCGGCGTATAAGACAACTTTCAAAAGCGTTGAAATCGGTGCCGAAGTCAGGGGTCGTCTTATACACCGAGTCGTCTTATACACCAGAAATAACAGTAGTTTCCGGCGTATAAGACGACTTTCTAGGCATGTGACTCGGTGCCAAAGACAGGTCGTCTTATACGCTGGGTCGCTTTATACACCGGAAATAACGGTAGTTTCCGGCATATAAGACGACTTTCTAGGCATGCGACTCGGCACCGAAGACTGGGGTCGTCTTATACACCGAGTCGTCTTATACACTGGAAATAACGGTAGTTTCCGGCGTATAAGACGACTTTCTAAGCATGCGACTCGGCGCCGAAGACTGGGGTCATCTTATACGCCGAGTCGTCTTATACGCCGGAAATAACGGTAGTTTCCGGCGTATAAGACGACTTTCTAGGCATGCGACTCGGCACCGAAGTCGGGGGTCATCTTATACGCGGAGTCGTCTTATACGCTGAAAATAATGGTAGTTTACGGCATATGACGACTTTCTAGGCATGCGTCTCTGCGCCGAAGACTGGGGTCGTCTTATACGCCGAAAATAACGGTAGTTTCCAGCGTATAAGATGACTTTCTAGGCATGCGACTCGGTGCCGAAGATAGGGGTCGTCTTATACGCCGGGTCGCCTTATACGCCGGAATATACGGTATATAGAATGTTGGTAAGGGAAGATATCGGTTATGCAGTTGAGTAGTTATTGAACATAGAATTGATATATTTTCATTGACCATTGAATAAAAGTTCTGATATTTCAGTTTACAGGAGATAAATAGGCAGATAGATTAGAGGTACTTTTTAGAAATACTGGGGGCACTGTTAGACAAACATTGCTGTAATGAATGAAACAAAAAACAACAGATGGGAACTAATCAAGGAGAGAACCAATCTAGAACTAAGTAGAAATGTCCTGACAGCGAGAACAATCAACCAGTGGAAGGTCTTGCCTTCAGAGGGTGCTCCGTAACTGGAGGACTTTAAGAAGAGACTGGACAGCCCCTTGTCTGGAATGCTTAGGATCTCCAGCTTGAGCAGAGGGTTGGATTAGATGGCCTCCAAGGTCGCTGTCAACTCTTGTTATTCTGTATTCAATATTTTCTTTTCTTGAAGTAACACAAGCAGTCAATAATTCCAGAACTAACAAATGCCAGATTCTAAAACCCAATTAAAATTATTTCGGCAGTAAGTCAATTCATTTGCATTCCAAAAGTTGATGTTTCCATTCAGTCTTTTTTTGTTGTTGTTGTTGTTAGCCGGTATCTCTTTGACGGAGAATACTGTCTCTGTTTTATCTTTGTGTTGACTTTAAGTCAGAAGCTGCAGACATTTAATTGTTCAAATGTTATTAGTGAGAGCTGAGAGTGATCTTTGTTTCATGCACCAGCCCTCTCTCTCAAGTCTCTAAATTAAATCTTTCGGGTGGGTGGCCCAGAAGCAGATATTAATTTTGATTATACTGATGTGTGCAAATGTCCATCCCGGTGGTAGCATCCAGCCCAACTTGGCTGTTCTCCAAATAAGCAAGATGGCCCTGTTTGTATTTAGATAGGAAACCACCGACATAATACCCAAGTAAGAAAGTAAAAAGTCAAAGCCATACGATAGCACTGACAAATCTCTTCCATGTTGTCCCCAAAAGAATTACATGGAGTAATTCAAAGATTTCGCCAGGATTCAGGGACATCCCCAGCAATGGTTAGTAGCCACAGGGTCCTTGGGATGTATGTAAATGTTCCAACTCCCAAATCCTTTACTCTATGTGAGCAGGGTGTAAGTGTACGTCCCTAATAAACCTGTGCTCTTAATCTTCCTGAAGACTAGGAGTCCTCGTGGACAATCACCTAAATATGAGCCAGCCGTGTGTTGCAGCTGCCAAAAAAGCCAACGCAGTGCTAGGCTGCATTAACAGAGGGATAGAATCAAGATCACGGGAAGTATTAATACCACTTTACAAGGCCTTGGTAAGGCCACACTTGGAATACGGCATCCAGTTTTGGTCCACGATGTGAAAAAGATGTTGAGACTCTGGAAAGAGTGCAGAGAAGAGCAACAAAGATGATTAGGGGACTGGAGGCTAAAACATATAAGGAACAGTTGCTGGAATTGGGGATGTCCAGTTTAACAAAAAGAAGGACGAGGGGGAACATGATAGCAGCGTTCCAATATCTCAGGGGCTGCCCCAAAGAAGAGGGAGTCAAACTCTTCTCCAAAGCCCCTGAAGGCAGGACAAGAAGCAACAGATGGAAACTAATCAAGGAGAAACTTCCTGACAGTTGCCGAGCCTCCAAGGTTTGATCACATGCTGCAACGGTCATAAGTGTGAAAAACGGTCATAAGTCTCTTTTTTCATTAGTGTCATTGCAACTTTGAAAAGTCACTAAGAGCTACCTGTATATCAAAGCTGCTGTTTCCTTTCTGGGATTGAGTCAATATCATCTCCTAACACGATACAGTATATATATATTTTTCTACAGCTTCAGATTCTACCGTTGAACTTACCTTTTCAATATGTATGTATGTATGTATGTATGTATATGTTTTCTGAGGTTTTCGCGGGTGTTTGTATGTAGGTCTTCGGTTATTCAGGTTTTCTCCCGCGTAAAATTTCTCCCGCGTCTTGGCAACGTTTCGACGAAGTCCCATTCGTTATCTTCAAGCTGGTGTTTTCAGCTTCGTGCTTCGAGGAGCAATGTTGCTCCTCGAAGACTGCTCCTCGAGGATTGCTCCTTGAAGCACGAAGCTGAAAACAGCAGCCTGAAGATGACAAATGGGACTTCGTCGAAATGTTGCCAAGACACTTCCAATTTTATGCGGGAGAAAACACGAATAACCGAAGACCTACATATATATATATATATATTCTACGGCTTCAGATTCTATCGTTGAACTTACCTTTTCATCTGCCAACAGGTTCAACTTTCAAGCAACAACATAAAGATCATTTCGCCTTCACCAGAAGCAAGTAAAAACCCTTTAGGACTGCATGCAAAAAGCACAACTCAGTCAACTTTCCAAACTTAAAATATAAAATATTATTTACGATTCTCTCAACGTCATGCGAAACAAGCATGATCAAAGACAATTTACACCGGATGGCTCTTTTCAGCTCCGATCAAATTGCCTTTCCGAACTGCACAGTCACGTCAAATCCAGAAAACCAAGCTGGAATATTATTTTTTTTTTAGATCTTTGTTCATCAGTCAACTCAAGGATCCAGCGTCTGAATTCTTACTGACAGGTGCTTAGAAAGGCATTGGCAGATCGTGTGAAAAAAAAAAATCCCTCATGCTGTTAACAGAACATTACAGAATCTTCTCCGGGGGGTCCATGCCTTCTCCAGACTAGACCGATCTAGAACCCAGCGGCAGTGCTCCGCCACGGTTTTCCAGAATGTAAATCTCCAATCCAGAACTGGTTTGTTGTTTTGGATGCTCGTGTGGAAGACTGCCAACTGCTTCTCGTTTTTAAGCTTCTTACTCTTTTTCCGCACGGCCCTTCAGGCTGGATTTTTGCTTCTTCTTCTCCTTCTGTCCAATAATACGGAAAAGCTTCTTCCTGGCTTCCTTCTGTCTCTTCAGCTTCGCTTCTTCCTCTTTCTCTTTCACCTTCTGGTGCTCTTTAACCTGCTGACGGTGCTGTGCCTTATCTTTCCGCAACTTGTAGTTGTGTACCGTGCCCAGGGCCGAGAGAAGCGCTGCGACCTTAACATAAGAAGGACCCAAATTAATTAAGAAACTCTGTAACTGTTTGTTAAGTTGAAAGATGGAAGAAGAACAAGTCAAAGAAAGCACGATAACAAGGGCAAAAAAATTTGGGGGCACAGTATAGAGTTGGAAAGATGGCAAAATCTTTGGGAAAGAAACTATAAAATAATAATGACAGCTGCTTGTAAAGAAAATGTATATAAAATGTTTTATAGGTGGCCCTTACCACCGGTGAGGCTAGCAAAAAATGTTTAAAAATATGTCCAGCAATTGTTGGAAATGTAGGCAAAAAACCAGGCATGTATTATCAGCTTTGGTGGACGTGCTCCAAAACAAAACAAAAAAAATGGGTCAAAAATACATAGGTGGTTAAGAGCAAATGTTAAGAAAACACATAGATTTTAAGCCGGAACTATTTCTTTTAGGTATAATCTCAGAAAAAAAAAACATGAGAAAAAAAAATGTGTGTATTAACAGCAGCAAGAATTGTATTTGCACAACATTAGAAAAAAGAAGAAATACCAGCTGAAGAAGAGATAATTAAGGAAATTTTGGACTGCGTGGAAATGGATAGGCTTACTTTGAAAATGAAAGCAAAAGGGATACAGAATACTTCCAAACATGGGATGTATTTTTCCAGTGGCTGGAAAAATGGGGTAGAGATGAGAAATTTAATATGCATTATTAAGAAGCAACCTGGAACTAAGGAGAAACTTCCTGACAGTGAGAACAATTAACCAGTGGAACCACCTGCCTCCAGAAGCGGTGAATGCTCCAACACTGGAAGTTTTTAAGAAGAGACTGGACAGCCATTTGTCCAAAATGGTATAGGGTTTCCTGCCTGAGCAGGGGGTTGGACTAGATGACCTCCAAGGTCCCTTCCAACTGTATCATTATCATCACCATCATCATTATTATTACTAATGAACAAAAAAGATAATTAAGACCACTTCACAGATTCACCCAGGATGTCCCACTTAATCACTCATCTAGGGCAGCGGTTCTCAACCTGTGGGTCAGGACCCCATTTGGGGTCAAACGACCATTTCATGGGGGTCGCCAAACAAGGCTGTCCGCCATTTTTTTCCCCTTTTCCTTAGCTGGGCTACTCCCTTTTATTCTATTGGCTTTTGAAAGCCAATAGAATAGATTCTCTTGAATAGAGTCTAGTTCTATTGGCTTTCCAAAGCCAATAGGAATTGTCCAGGCTGTCTCTGCCCTGCTGAGCCCGCCAAAAGTCCCGTTCTGCAAACGGGGCTGCACCAGTTGAGTAGTCCTCGACTTACGACCGCTTGAGTAGTCCTCGACTTACGACCGGTTGGGGGTCGCGGCCTTAAAAAGGTTGAGAACCACTGGCCTCAGAGATCTCTCACCTTTCTTTCGTGCGGTTCCCTGATGACAGCCGGCCTCCACTTATCCTTGGTGACTTTCTTTTTCCTTTCTTGGAACTTGGGCTTACTCTTAAACGGCAAGGCTTTCTGGAGAGCTTTGGGAATGTGCAGCTTGTTGAAATGTTTCTTCGCCCGCATTATTGGCTAAGGAGAAGGAGAAAGGAAAGGAAAGGTCATGCCCTTTTCCGGGACCCTGCAAAGCATTTCATTCGGAATCGCGTCGGGCGTACAACATTTTGGGAGAATGTCCTACTTTGCGCACACAAAAAACCAAAAACCAAAAGCCCAGCCTGTTTGTTTCAAGCTTCAAGCGCTTTTTCAGGAAATGATGACAGTGGAATATTTCGTATTTGAAATGCAAATAGTTGTACAATTACATACACACACACACACACACACACACAGAGAGACAAAAAAGCCAGTTTGGAGCAAAGCATTTTGCGTTCTTTTGGTGAGCGTGCTTCATTTTGCGCTGAAACAAACACCGATAGCAGATCTTTCATTTAATCCACCAGCGGGCAGTCTGCAGTCTACGTTGCCATCTCCAAAATCACTTCTGTGGCCTCCTCCAACTCAAATCGTTCCACCCAAACGTTCAGTGGACCGCGAATAAAAATGTTGTTTAAGTCTTGGAATACGCTTAAAAGTTTAAAACGAACTTGTAACAAGCCCTGCAACAGCAAAACTCTGCCCCTTCCTTTAATGCCTCTTTCGACCACTATGCCATCCAGCGTCCTTGTCAGTATTTATTGTCCATCCATCCATCCTGCCAGCCAGCAGTCCAACTCTGTCTGTCTGTACATCCTCCATCATCCATCAATCTAGTCATCTAGCTAGCCAGCCAGCTGTCTGTCTATCCAGCTGTCTATCTAATAATCTTATCTCTCTTTCTCTCTCTAATCACCTTACCTTCTCTACCTATCTACTACTCTACCTGTCTACCTTTTTAACCTATTAAATTGCTTTAACTAACCACCTAATATCTGTCTATCATCTATCTATTCCTTCCTTCCATCCATCTTCTATCATCTATCTAATACCATCTATTCCTTTCCTCCCTCCCTCCTTTTCCCTCCTTCCTTCTTTCCTGCCTTCTTGCCTTCCCTCCTTTTCTCTTCCTTCCTTCCCTCCCTCCTTCTTCCTTCCTCTGTATCTATCTATCTATCTATCTATCTATCTATCTATCTATTTTTCTATCAATCTTATCTATCCTATCTATCCTATCTATCTATCTATCTATCTATCTATCTATCTATCTATCTATCTATCTATCTATCTATCTATCTATCTGATTGCCTTATCCAGTCACCTTCTCTCTTTCTCTCTCAGCCATCCAGCCATCTATCTTACCCTCAATAAAATGAAGAAAAAACAAATCATCCTGAATCCCTACAGTGATGCCCAAACCAAATTAGATTTCTTAATTTAGAGTCCCCTCCCCCTACCCACGTGGCAGAACCCTCGCAGATCCGTGGAAGTGGCCGGTATCCAAACCGACGCATCAGAGACAAAGATCAGTAAAAACGTGCGACACCTACCACATCGCACGGACCGCCCTACCTTATAGAGGGAGTCCTTGTTTTGCTTCAGCCTGATGCCCTTCTCGTGTCTCAGCTGCCCCGTGGTCTTCATGCCTATCCAGGAGGATTTCTCACCCAGAGGCTTCAGTAAAGAGGTGACCGGATTGTAGAAGGCCGGGGCAGACACAGGATACCACGTTCGCAGGAATACGATGTCTGAAGAGGGAAACGTTTGTGAAAAGTTTGGAGATCTCTGGATTTTTACAGCGGCGATCAACTGATACCACTTTTTTGTTTAACCTGGGCCTTGCTTCTTCTTGGTAATTAGTTGCAGAGTTAAAATTTGGTATAAAATTGTACTGAGCTACATAATGCCCCAATACTGCTGATGTTGGTATAGCCTCTCTCTCCCTCTCTTGTCCTCCCTACCACTCTCTCTCGCCCCGCTCCCTCTCTCCTTCCCTCCCCTCTTTCTCGCCTCCCTCCCTCCCCTCCCCTCTTGCCTTCCCTTTCACCCTCCCTCCCTCCTCTCCCTCTTTCCCTCTTGCCCTCCCTCCCTCTTCCTCCCCCTCCTTCCCTCTCTTGCCCTCCCTCCCTCCCCTCTCCCTCTCCCTCTCCTCTTCCCTCCCTCTCCTCTTTCGCCCCTCCCTCTCCGTCTCCTCTCCCTCCCTCCTTCTTTGCCCTCCCTCCCCTCTCCCTCCCTCTTGCCTTCACTCACTTTTCCTCCCCCTCTCCCTCCCTCTCTTGCCCTCCGCTCCTTCCCTGCCTTGCCTCTCATCCTCCCTCTCCTTCTCTTCCTCCTTCTCTCCCCCCTCCCTCTTGCCTTCCCGCTCTCTCACCCTCCCTCCCTCTTTTCCTCCCTTTCCTCTCCCTCTCTTTCTCTCTGAGCTACTGACTCTCTGTCTTCCCAACTCACCCACGGGGGGGGGGGGAGGTTCAACCCCAGACCTGATCCTCCTCCTGACCCTAATAAGTCAGTTTCAGATGTGCAAAGCTGGAAAACCCAACTTACCGCTCATCAGTAACTTGTCTTCAAACGTTGCTCGGAAAGCGCCCTCCGGGGTCCTGAGGGCTTTCTTGATCTGTCCCCGGATGCCGCTCACCGTGCGGATGGCTGCGCCCTCAAACCTAGCCACTTCCAGCACGGAGTTAAACATCCCCTGCGTGGCACAGGAGAACACGTCTTACTTATTGTGCACCAGGATTAACAATCAAGAAACCAATGTGTCTTCTAACTCAGTGGTTCTTAACCAGGGGGCGATTTCGTTTTTCAGGGGGGCGAAGGAACGAAAAGGGGGCGATATGGGGGCAATGGAGCAAGAAGTTTTGGGGACACTTTTGAGACTTTTTCTTACAGTGAATCGCTGCATATCTGTCGTACAAAAACATCAGATCGCTCGCTATAACTGGATTGAATTGTGTTTTCAAATGTTCCTCCAGATAGCTTCAGTAGAGAACGCTGTACATATGTGAATACGCATCACTTATCTTCATGCGCGTTGCACAGCAGCCTCTACCCTTTTTATATTTCTTTTTGCGTCTTAAAATTTCACTTGTAATTAAATCATTAAATATTACTGTTTTTTTCTTTTCGGGCATTTCACTTTCTTGCAATTGAATTTTGTTTTCAGTGGTCATTACATTGAAGTGTCTTGAATAAATAAGATAATAATGAGATACATGTATCACGAAGTTTGGGAATCAAGTGACGGGTGGCACCAAACAGTTGAGATATGGGAAAAAGACTGGAAATAAATTATTTGCATTGATATGTCCTGATGACAATTTTAAAGAAAACAAAACAAATGTTTGGATAAATTGAAGAATTATTTCCTATGTTGTGATTGAGAGGTTATGTTGGGGGAGGGGGGCGATGACAACTTCCTCATTGGCTCAAGGGGGCGATTCGTTCAAAAAGGTTAAGAACCACTGTTCTAACTCACCTTCCTCTGTTACTTATAAGAAGTGTGTTTGTGTGTGTGTGTGTGTGTATGTGTGTGTGTGTGTTTAACGAACAGAGGTGTCTTGGAGAGAGCCATTTCTGCCAGAAATGAAGGCAGGCATGCCTCTGATAAGCCACACTTTCCCCAAAGTGTACCCAAATTTACTTTGGTCTTTTTTAAATTTGTTGCATTAAAGACCACGCCAAGATAAATTTTAACTCTGAACTTCTGAGGGGTGATAGCCATAACAAATTTAAATAAATAAAGCTGAACAACACATGGCTGCAAAGACCAAATTGCAAAATAGCGCTCAAAACGCCTACCTTAATAAAAGCCGTATTCTTGAAAATTTTGAAAGGGAAGCCGATCAACTTTAACTTCTTCACAATCCTTAGAGACTTATCCAAGTCCAGCACCACTCCGGTTGCAGCTATCCGGAAATCGGCCTGAGATAAAAACAAAGAAAGTCCGTTTGTGGTGTCTAAAGTTCTTTTTAGGAAAAGTCTTATGACTTTGGATTTCGTTGGCTTTCCCTGCATGGAAATTCTTTGAGGGGGGAAAAAAAAGAGAGCTTTAAAGGCATAAGAAATCAGTTTGGACCAGGGCTTAGTAAACACCAGTTGAATATCTTCTTCACAACGTTGCATCCATGAATGGAGCCGTTTATTAGAACTTCAACTGCCAAAGTTGAAGCTATTTGGGTTCATCTTCAACAGCACACAAAAAAACGATCAGAGGAAGGGGATTGGAAGCCACCCAGGCTGAGGTACTTACCATTGTACCACTCACAGATTGGACAGCCAAACACCCGGTCCCTTGTGGAGTGATGGGGCCTGTAGAGAATGTTGAATGAAACCATCAACAAATCACCTAACAGTGTGTATCTATCTATCTATCTATCTATCTATCTATCTATCTATCTATCTATCTATCATTTATGCCTTACTTTTCTAATGTGATCTATAAACTGGATAACGCATCCTTGTAATTTTCTTGGCACCAGTCTAGGGCAGTGTTTCTCAACCTCAGTGGCTTTAAGATGCGTGGACTCAACTCCCATGCTGGCTAGTGAATTCTGGGAGTTGAAGTCCACGGATTGGAAAGCTGCCCACGGGGTTAGGGTTAGGTCACCATGAACTCCTAGAGCAAAATGGACATTGCCAACAAATTTGGAGTGCTTGGGTATGGTTAGGAGGGCACTGACTTTTCTAGCCTGCCCTATCTATGTTTCCTGGTAAAATACATGGGAAAATCCCATAGGAGGAAAAGTCCACTTAGGGTTAGGGTTAGGTCACCATGAACTCCTAGAGCAAAATGGACATTGCCAACAAATTTGGAGTGCTTGGGTATGGTTAGGAGGGCACTGACTTTTCTAGCCTGCCCTATCTATGTTTCCTGGTAAAATACATGGGAAAATCCCATAGGAGGAAAATTCCACTTAGGGTTAGGGTTAGGTCACCATGAACTCCTAGAGCAAAATGGACATTGCCAACAAATTTGGAGTGCTTGGGTATGGTTAGGAGGGCACTGACTTTTCTAGCCTGCCCTATCTATGTTTCTTGGTAAAATGCATGGGAAAATCCCATAGGAGGAAAATTCCACTTAGGGTTAGGTCACCATGAACTCATAGAGCAAAATGGACACCGCAAACGAATTCGGAGTGCTTGGGTATGGTTAGGAGGGCACTGACTTTTCTAGCCTGCCCTATCTATGTTTCCTGGTAAAATAATGGGAAAATCCCATTGGAGGAAAATTCCACTTAGGGTTAGGGTTAGGTCACCATGAACTCTTAGAGCAAAATGGACACCACCAACAAATTCAGAGTGCTTGGGTATGGTTAGGAGGGCACTGACTTTTCTAGCCTGCCCTATCTATGTTTCCTGGTAAAATACATGGGAAAAATCCCATTGGAGGAAAATTCCACTTAGGGTTAGGGTTAGGTCACCATGAACTCCTAGAGCGAAATGGACACCGCCAACGAATTCGGAGTGCTTGGGTATGGTTAGGAGGGCACTGACTTTTCTAGCCTGCCCTATCTATGTTTCTTGGTAAAATGCATGGGAAAATCCCATAGGAGGAAAATTCCACTTAGGATTAGGGTTAGGTCACCATGAACTCTTAGAGCAAAATGGACACCACCAACAAATTCAGAGTGCTTGGGTATGGTTAGGAGGGCACTGACTTTTTTAGCCTGCCCTATCTATGTTTCCTGGTAAAATAATGGGAAAATCCCATTGGAGGAAAATTCCACTTAGAGTTACGGTTAGGTCACCATGAACTCCTAGAACGAAATGGACACCGCCAATAAATTTGGAGTGTTTGGGTATGGCTAGGAGGGCACTGACCTTTCTAGCCTGCCCTATCTATGTTTCCTGGTAAAATACATGGGAAAATCCCATTGGCGGAAAATTCCACTTAGGGTTAGGGTTTGGTCACCATGAACTTCTAGAGCAAAATGGACACCGCCAACAAATTCGGAGTGCTTGGGTATGGTTAGGAGGGCACTGACTTTTCTAGCCTGCCCTATCTATGTTTCCTGGTAAAATAATGGGAAAATCCCATTGGAGGAAAATTCCACTTAGGGTTAGGGTTAGGTCACCATGAACTCCTAGAGCGAAATGGACACCGCCAACAAATTCGGAGCGCGTGGGTATGGTTAGGAGGGCACTGACTTTTCTAGCCTGCCCTATCTATGTTTCCTGGTAAAATACATGGGAAAATCCTATTGGCGAAAAATTCCACTTAGGGTTAGGGTTTGGTCACCATGAACTTCTAGAGCAAAATGGACACCGCCAACAAATTCGGAGTGCTTGGGTATGGTTAGGAGGGCACTGACTTTTCTAGCCTGCCCTATCTATGTTTCCTGGTAAAATACATGGGAAAATCCCATAGGAGGAAAATTCCACTTAGGGTTAGGTCACCATGAACTCCTAGAGCAAAATGGACACCGCAAACGAATTCGGAGTGCTTGGGTATGGTTAGGAGGGCACTGACTTTTCTAGCCTGCCCTATCTATGTTTCCTGGTAAAATAATGGGAAAATCCCATTGGAGGAAAATTCCACTTAGGGTTAGGGTTAGGTCACCATGAACTCCTAGAGCGAAATGGACACCGCCAACAAATTCGGAGCGCGTGGGTATGGTTAGGAGGGCACTGACTTTTCTAGCCTGCCCTATCTATGTTTCCTGGTAAAATACATGGGAAAATCCTATTGGCGAAAAATTCCACTTAGGGTTAGGGTTTGGTCACCATGAACTTCTAGAGCAAAATGGACACCGCCAACAAATTCGGAGTGCTTGGGTATGGTTAGGAGGGCACTGACTTTTCTAGCCTGCCCTATCTATGTTTCCTGGTAAAATACATGGGAAAATCCCATAGGAGGAAAATTCCACTTAGGGTTAGGTCACCATGAACTCCTAGAGCAAAATGGACACCGCAAACGAATTCGGAGTGCTTGGGTATGGTTAGGAGGGCACTGACTTTTCTAGCCTGCCCTATCTATGTTTCCTGGTAAAATACATGGGAAAATTCCATTGGCGGAAAATTCCACTTAGAAGGTGGAATTGCTGCTTCCTTTCGTCCAAATGATTTTTGGTTTTTCAACCTAGCTTAGAGCCCTAGAAGTTCTTAGGGTCTCCCCTTCAAATCCTAATCAGGTCTAACCTTTCTTAGTCTTTCTTTAAAGTCCACCCAGCCGAGCGTGAAGGAAGACGAGATTTGAAAACGAAGGGAAAAAAAAGACGAATGGCCCATAAGGAATGAACATATAATCAAGATGAATGGCCCAGTTTATCAATCACGTGGTCTAAGGAATGAAGATATAATCAAGATTTACAAACTTTTAACACTGTAGCAAAGCAGAGCACCTTTATTCTCCATGATGATTTTTTTTTGTATGGAACAGATATAATTCTTTGTCTTTCATGCAGCTAGTTAGCACACATTTCAGATATTTCTTCTGCCCGTTAAAATACATTTTTAATGGACTGTAATACCAGCGATGTCTCTTATTTGGAGATGCCATCTGCTTGTTATTCCCATCTAAGTATCTATTGGCCAGGTATCTAGACCATTGTTCTTAGGTCACTAGGGTGATGTCTGAATCTTGTGTCTAAAACAGACTTTAGAACTGTCTTGCCTTAACCAATGTTGAAAGCATCACTATGTTTGACCAAGTCGTTTTTCAAACTAACAAATAACCATGAATGATTGTTAACTGCTACCACAATAAAAACATCTTGGCAAGTGATTCCTTTGTTGCGTAAACAGAATCAAAATCGGGTGAAGCACTGGTACCCGTTTATAAAACCTTTAGTAAGGCCACACCTGGAATACCTGCATCCAGTTTTGGTCACCACATTACGAAAAAGACGTTGAGACTTTGGAAAAAGTGCAGAGAAGAGCAACAAAGATGATTAGAGGGCTGGAGGCTAAAACATATGAAGAACTTTTGTAGAGATTGGGTAACAAGAAGGACCAGGGATCACACGATAGCAGTCTTTCAATATTTGAGGGGCTGCCACAAAGAACAGGGAGACAATCTGTTTTCCAAAGGATCTGAAGGCCAGACAAGGAACAAATGGATGGAAACTAATCAAGAAGTGGAGAAGCAAGCTGGAATTAAAGAGAAACTTCCTGTCAGTGAGAACAATTTAATCAATAGAACAGAAATTGTCTCCAGAAGTGGTGGGCGCTCCATCACTGGGGGCTTTTAAGAAGAGACTGGACAGCCACTTGTCTCAAATGGTACAGGGTCACCTGCTTGAGCAGTGGGTTGGACTAGAAGACCTCCAAGGCCCATTCTGATTGAAAGTCCTACCCGGTATCTCCTCTTAGGTCTGAGAGTTGTGACGTGAGCTCTTACCCCAGAAAGTTACTCCGCAGTGCATGTGTTGTGGCGTATATTTTAGTAGCCTCTGACGACCGTTGTGGTCCTCTATGTAATACATAGGAATTGTCTGGAACCGCCTCCAGCCTAGAGACAGAATCAGAGGATCGCGGGTTTTGAGGATTTTCTTGTACCAGCGATGCTTCTTCAACCGCATCTGAAGAGAGAGAGAAAGAGAGGGAGATGGAGAGAGAGAGAGAGAGAGAGAGAAGGAGAGAGAGAGGGAGAGAGAGAGGGGGGGGGAGAGAGGGAGAGGGAGAGAGAGAGAGAAGGAGAGAGAGAGAGGGAGAGAGAGAGGGAGAGAGAGGGAGAGAGAGAGAGAGAGGGAGAGAGGGAGGGAGAGAGAGAGAAAGAGAGGGAGAGAGGAAGAAAGAGAGAGAGAGGGAGGGAGGGAGGGAGGGAGGGAGAGAGAGACAGAAAGAGAGGGAGAAAGAACAATTTCATCTCATCTCAAAAACCATTTCAACAACCCCTCCTTCACCTTTGTTGAGAACAAAGTTTTCTTTTCTTTTCTTTTAAATATGTTTTGTTAATTTTTTTAACGTAATCACCTTAATATTCGGTAGACAGTGCGTTGTCTGGGTTTGCATTTAACAAACATTCATTAACCACTAAATTCTATAATCTATCATCCACAGGGTAACTTTACATGGTTTCCTCTTTTCCTCATAATGTTCTCTTTTACCAACCTTAAGTTAATACAATTCTTAGTGTTTCAATAAATGATAATTAAGTATAAAAGTTTTTTTCTTAGGGTACTACTTTGGTGGGAAGGCACCATGACGCTGAGTGTATAGTTATGCCGGCCACAGGACCACAAAAGCGTCTTCAGACAAGACTGGCTCCCTTGCTTAGGGAGCGGAGACGAGTCGGACACAACCGGATAGAGAAAAACATTTACCTTTATATATCGTGGTTAAAAAGCGAACATTTTTTTTTTAATTGGGAATTATAGAAAGAAAATATAAGAAAGATACAAATTATTTACTACTGCATATAGTAACAGCGGCACGAATAGCCTTCGCTCAAAAATGGAAAAAGAAAGATACTCCAACCGGAGAGGAAATATTACTGAAAATTTTCAATTGCGCTGAAATGGATAGACTTACATGGGAACTCAAGCATAAAAGTGAAACTCAGTACTACAAAATCTGGGAACAATTTTATGATTGGATAGACAATAAGAGGGTAGCCAAGACAAATGTATAGTGTTAGAATAAAATATAGATTATAGACAAATGTATATTTAAAAGATAAATAGATATACAGAAATAAAGGGAAAAGTGTGAATATTATATTATAAATAGTGAGCAAAGCTCAAGAACTGTATGTCTATATGAGTACTAATACTACTGTAAAATGTCGGAAGATGTATGGAACCAGTGATGTCATATCTATGTCCAATGTGTTTTTAATTTTGTATTATTAATAAAAAAATTTTTTTAAAAAAACAAACAATTAATCAGTGGAACAACCTGCCTCCAGAAGCAGTAAATGCTCCAATACTGGAAGTTTTTAAGAAGAGACTGGATAGCCATTTGTCTGAAATGGTATAGGGTTTCCTGCCTGAGCAGGGGGTTGGACTAGATGACCTTCAAGGTCCCTTCCAACTTTATTATTATTACTATTATTATTACTACTACTACTATTATTATTATTATTATTATTATTATGGATCATCGCACAGTCAGCCAGAAGTTCAGACTGGATTTGGCATATTGTCTACCTACCGAGTCCTTACCCAGGACTGGGATAGGCAGATGTGGATGTTTGATGGTATTACAGGTATCGTCACAGGATGGAAGCAGTTCCTAGTAAGGCCGCCTTTTGCAATTAACTAATAGCGAATTTGTCAATGCCAATGGTGTTCAAGTGGTGCTCCAGTTGTTTTGGGATTGCACCCAAGGAGCCTATTGCTATTGGTACTATCCTTACTTGCTTTTGCCACAGTTATTACCATTATTATTATAATTATTATTATTATAAAAACGTAACGTACCTGCACATAGCCCACGTTTCCTTCCGTGTTGCCGAGCCCGCCCAGCACAATTGGATAGCGTGGATCGAAATGCAGCACCAGTTCACACGGGACGTTCTCCAGTTCTATCCGGATGTACATCCCCGGCCGAAATCCCTCGTATTGAATTCTGGTTTCGTCGTCTTGGTCGTCAAACTCCAGCCTGTTCAGCTGCAGGGCAAACGTCAATAAGGAATGCGATGCTTTATCGCACTCGAGGCCCGTCGCGACAATCCCGCAGCTGATCTCGGCTGCGGCACAGCGCCAATTCTGCCGAGTGGCAAAACGGGGATCTGCATTTCTGCTGGTCTGCCGCGTCTGGGTTTGTGGTTCACCTTGTTAAAAGTTGTGTGCATCCCTGTGCGTTTCTTACTGTGCCGTTTGGTTATACCTTGTGAACCAATTTCACAAGCCCCCCCCCATGGCCTGAGAGGAACAGTGAGGCCCCTCCAGTGGACCATGCCTTGGCACTTGCCCTGGTCCCCCCCCTTCTGCCAGAGACCCTCAGATCTGTCCCACTCCTGCCCAGGCCCCCACAGGCACCTTTGATGCAAACAATGTAGAGCTGGCCATGTCCACCCAGTAGGCCACACACCCCCTGACCACACCCACCCGCCGCCCTCCAAGGGCAACTGCAATGCTGATGAAGCCCTCAATGAAATTGAGTTTGACACCCGATTTACACCAAAGACAGTCAAGACAGAGCAATGTGAAATTTTTTTCTCCTGCCAGCGTGACGTAATTCGCGCTTTGCTACCGGATTTGCGCAGCCTTTTCCAAAGTGAGCTGGGCAAGATCTGAACGAGAAACTTTGCTGGGCCCTCCTGTTCGCCTCCGGAGCGCTTCGGCAAGCCAACGTTATCTACCTGAGCCTGCTTCTGCAGCTCCTCCTTCAAGTCATCGAAGTAGGTGGCGTTTCCGTCGTACTCGGCGTCAAACATCTCTTTCAGCTTACGCTTCTTGGCGATGCGTTTCTTCTGCTCTTCTTCCTCCTCCGCCCCCTTGTTGTCCTTTCCCTTGTTGTCCTCTTCTCCTTCGCTGGCCGCCTAATGGCGTGGAGGGAAAAATAATAATAATAATTCAGGTCAGTCGAGCTTTTAATTTTTTTTTCCTCCCCCAATGAAATCTGCAGCACCAAAGTTTGTTTTTTTTTTAAATAAGATTTCCTTGACAGATGCCCTTTTTCTACACCCAACAGGTTTACAAGTTGGATAAAAGCCTCTATCACACCGGGCAGGGTGGACACAGCTCCAGGGACTCCAAGTTAAATACAAGTAGTCCTCGAATTACGAGCACATGGGAGGCCAAAACCTCTATTGCTAAGCCAGAAGGTGGTTCAGTTAATTTTTGCCCCTTTTTATGACCTTTTTTTTTTGTATAGATTTTATTAGTTTTTATAGGGTTAGGGATAAAGTGGGGTCGGGGTTAGGGTTAGGCTTGGGGTTTTTCAATATTTAACAAACAGCATAATAATAATAATAATAATAATAATGATGATGATGATGATGATGATGATCATGATGATCATGATGATGATGATGATGTTGGAAGAGACCTTGGAGGTCATCTAGTCCAACCCCCTGCTCAGGCAGAAAACCCTATACCATTTCAGACAAATGGCTGTCCAGTTTCTTCTTAAAAACCTCCAGCGTTGGAGCATTCACCACTTCTGGAAGCAGGTTGTTCCACTGGTTAGTTTGTTCTAACTGTCAGGAAGTTTCTCCTTAGTTCAAGGTTGTTTCTCTCCTTGATTAGTTTCCACCCATTGCTTTTTGTCCTGCTTTCTGGCACTTTGGAGAATAGTTTGACCCCCTCTTCTTTGGGGCAGCCCCTTTGTGGCAGACACACACACCTTCAGCAGCCTCTGAAGGTGTGTGTGTCTGTTAACTGTGAACGGCCACTAAAATGAACTACGGTTAAGTCGAGGGCTGCCTGTACTTCAATTTGAACCTTTTACGCTTTTCCAGAACTTGAGCGTTCCTCAGGAAGAGAGACTTAATTATCCTGACGGTTAGAACAATTAACCAGTGGAACAACCTGCCTCCAGAAGCTGTGAATGCTCCAACACTGGAAGTTTTTAAGAAGAGACTGGACAGCCATTTGTCCGAAATGGTCTACAGCAGTGGTTCTCAACCTGTGGGTCGGGACCCCATTTGGGGTCGAACGACCATTTCATGGGGGTCGCCAAACAACGCAGTCCGCCATTTTTCCCCCCCTTTTCCTTAGCTGTGCTACTCCCTTTTACTCTATTGGCTTTTGAAAGCCAATAGAATAGACTCTCTTGAATAGAGTCTAATTCTATTGGCTTTCAAAAGCCAATAGGAATTGTCCAGGCTGTCTCTGCCCTGCTGAGCCCGCCAAAAGTCCCATTCTGCAAACGGTGCTGCACCAGATGAGTAGTCCTCGACTTACGACCGGTTGAGTAGTCCTCGACTTACGACCGGTTGGGGGGTCACGGCATTAAAAAGGTTGAGAACCACTGGTCTACGGTTTCTGGCCTGACCAGGGATTTGGACTAGATGACCTCCAAGGTCCCTTCCAACTTTATCATCATCATCATCACACAGCATCCACCAGTAAAGTCAGACACAGGTAATCGGACAGTGCCCAACTTCACCCCAAAGGGGCTTTTTTTTTTCTTTTTTCAGGAGGCAACTGGACTTTCTTGTTTTTCTTTGAAGACGTTTCGCTTTTTCATCCCACAAGCTTCTTCAGCTCTGACTGGAGGGTGGGGAGTGGAAAGGATTTATACTCCACCTGCATTTAAAAGACAAAGGTCACTCTTTGGGAGACAGAGAGAGGACCAAATGGTTTGAAAGAGGAGGGGTCAAAGAGGCCATCTGGGTCAAAACTGAACAGCCCTCCTTCAACAGAGGGGGAAGGATACAACATCATCCATCTCCAGTCTACCACATAGTCCTTTCAGCAGTTCTAAGAAGACTCCACACCCATTTGCCCCACTCAGGTGACCCTGAGGATAAAGGTAGACCTCCAAGTGGCCTCAATGTTTCTCCAAAAGAAGGCAAATGACCAGCTGTCTGCCAGGAGTATAAATCCTTGCAGTCCCCACCGTCCAGTCAGAGCTGGATGAAGCTTCTGGGACAGTGTTTCTCAACCTTGACAATTTTAAGGCATGTGGACTTCAACTCCCAGAATTCCACAGCCAGCGATGCTGGCTGTGGAATTCTGGGAGTTGAAGTCCACATGCCTTAAAATTGTCAAGGTTGAGAAACACTGTCCTGGGATGAGAAGCGAAACATCTTCAAAGAAAAAAAAAGAAAGTCCAGTTGCCTCTTGAAAAAAAGCATCTTTGGGACAACCAGGAGCTGGGATGACCGAGAATCTCCACAGACGTCTCTCAAACCTCATGTTCTTGATCAGCTGATCTGCCTTTATACATGGTTCCCGTCTCAAGGTCTTCAAAATCGCCGTATATTTCTTCTGGGAAAGAAAAAAAAAATACCAATAAGTCCTTGAGTTATGACCGTAAATTGAGCCTGGTCATTAAGTTTTGATTTAAAAGGGTCATAAGGGGATCACGTGACCCCCTGGGACACTTAAATATGAGTCAATTGCCGAAGGTCTGGATTCTAATCATGACCTAATCATGGGATGCTGCAATGGTCATCACTGTTAAGTTTTGGGTAGTTGCAACTGGACCTGATTTTACAACTTTTATTTTTTTTCGTGGAAAGTCAACCCGCGTCCCCAGCAAACCATGATAAATCACAGTCACAGGAGTCAAGGGATGGGAAGGCCTGGGGGGGGGGGAAGGAAATAAAGGGGAAAAACAGAAAAAATGGGGGGGGGGGTTGGTATATTATTGTTGTTGTCTTTTTTTTTCCAAAGCTGTTTGGGGGGGGGGGAAACCATTTTTTTTTTCCTTTTTTTTTTCCAAACAGCTTTGGGAAAAAAGGGAGGAAAAAAAAAACCTGTTTTTTTTCCCAGTTTTTCTGTTTGTTTTTTTTTCCCAGGCCCTCCCATTTCTACATATGACTATGAGGCGCTGGGAACTGGTCAGTTGCCAAATGGCCCAAAAAACCAATCGTGTGACCGCAATGTGGATGGGCCGATATCAAAACATGAAAAGTGGATTGTGAGTCCATCGTTACTTCAAAGCGTTGCTAAAAGCAACCCGTCGTTAAGTCGAGGACTGCCTGTATTAAGAAACCATACCTTTTTTTTTTTCAGGTTGCCCCCCCCCCAAAAAAAAATAATCATAAGGGAAGGATGTATTCTGATTTACCATCTTCTTTCAACAATTTTTCGGCATCTTTGTCTGCCTCCCACTTTCCGGTCACGAAACAGTCACGGATGGTGTCCATCGCCTGCACAAAATAAACATCTCTGTTTTGGAGCACAAATTCACAGTGACCGACCATCGTTTTTCCAGATTATTCTGGATCAAGCCTGAAGGGAAGCTCTTTGCAAAGGTTTATCGACTTTCCATCACCGGCTATCTGACACCTTCACGTCGGAAGGACACTGAAGTTTAAGTCAGTCATCATTTATAGACGGGCTGCAAAATGGATTCACGGCTTTGTATTTCTGGGCTTCGTTAAGTCCCTCACTGCCTCTTTGCACATAACCTATGGTCCTCTCTCTCTTTTTTCTCAAACACCCAACTTACAACAGTTCGTTCTGTTATGCATGTAATATAAAAGGTATTACATGTTGTACGTACTATATAAAACATACAAAGAACAGTTGCTGGAATTGGGTAGGTCTAGTTAAATGAAGAGAAGGGTTAGGGTTGACACGATAGCCGTGTTCCAATATCTCAGGGGCTGCCCCAAAGAAGAGGGAGTCAAGCTATTCTCCAAAGGGCCTGAAGGCAGGACAAGAAGCAACGGATGGAAACTAATCAAGGAGAGAAGCAACCTGGAACTAAGGAGAAACTTCCTGACAGTGAGAACAATTGATCAGAGGAACAACCTGCCTCCAGAAGCGGTGAATGCTCCAACGCTGGAAGTTTTTAAGAAGAGACTGGACAGCTATTTATCCGAAATGGTATAGGGTTTCCTGCCTGAGCAGGGGGTTGGACTAGATGACCTCCAAGGTCCCTTCCAACTATTCTATTCTATTCTATTCATTATTCCATATTCTATTCTATTCTATTCTATTCTATTCTATTCTATTCTACTCTACATTCTATTCCATTCCATTCTGCATTCCATTCTATTCCACATTCTATTCCAAATTCTATTCCGCATTCTATTCCTTATTTCTATTCTATTCTATTATTTCTTATTCTATTTTATTTCTTATTCCAATTTGTTTCTTATTCTATTCTGTTTCTTATTTTATTCTATTCTGTTCATTATTCCATATTCTATTCTATTCTATTCTATTCTATCCATTATTCCATATTCTATTCTATTTTATTCTATTCTATTCTATTCTACTCTACTCTACTCTACTCTATTCTTCTATTTCTTATTCTATTTTATTTCTTATTCTGTTTCTTATTCTATTCCATTCCATTCCATTCCATTCCCAATGTGTATGCATTTGGAGATCTTTTATTTTAACTACCCTTTTATGTTCCTTCTTCAACATCACAGACTTGGTGAGACTCACATGCCAGGACAAACTAGCCCCAGTTCCAAGAAGACAGCTTCCGACAAGTCTCCAGAAGTCCTACCTCATCCGAGTCCCAGTCTTGTGCGATTTCCACGGGAAATTTGGAGCAATCCAGAGCATCAATCTTTCGTTTTGATTCTTTGTCAGGACGACTGACGCGAAACAGCCCTCCGAGTTCTTCCTCTCTTTCTCCTTCATCCTCCTCCTCCTTGTCCTCGGCCACTGAGGACGAATCGAGGCGGCGTTTTAGCTACAGTTAAGTTTCCACCTTACATCTGTGTGTCGCCTGCATTTTTGTTAATCACCTGTCCATCATCAACACTCTGGATCAGGACTGATTTACTCAAAATCATCACCTCCTAATTGTGCACATTAATGGCGGTTCGAAGCTTCAACGGCACTAGAGGAAGTGACTTACCACGAGTCCTCACACTTAGAAGCATCCCTGCACACACACACACACACACACACACACCCGTTAGATCAAAGCAGGCCCTGGGCAACTGGCCTTTATTTAGGTTTTTGTCTGCACTGCCGTGGCAGATTAATTGTCGAGGTTTAACCTTTTAAATCCAGCAAACCTGCCCAAAGACACTCCCTAAGCGGGGCAGGTATGTAAATAATGGAAATAATTTAACTATCGCAAGTCTCGGAGGGCTCCCGGAGGGCTCCGTGGCCAATTCCACCTTTGCCCTCTTAGCACTACCTGCATTTCCCGCCTGGCAGGCAGGAGCCTTTGACACGCCCGCCAAGCTAAAAGAAACTCAAAGTCAAAAGGCATCCTCCTGGGGATGAAGTACAATTAAGGGTCTAAATAGAAAAAGGGGAAATGTTGGCTTTTTTCCCTTGCTTGCTTTCATGATGGACTAATGACAATCTCACTAAACTTTGAGCCTTCACATTTGCTTAAGCTCCGTCCTTCCTTCCTCTCTCCCTTCCTTCCTTCCTTCCTTCTCCTTCCCTCCCTTCCTTCCATCCTCCCTTTCCTTCCTTCCTTCCTTTCTTCCTTCCCACCCTCCCTTTCTTCCTTCCCACCCTCCCTTTCTTTCCTCTTTCCTTCCTTCCTTTCTCCCTCCCTCCCTCCCTTCCCACCCTCCCTCCTTTCTTCCCTTCCCCTTCCTTCCTTCCTTCTTTCCTTCCTTCCTTCCTTCCTCCCTCCTTTCCTTCCTTCCTTCCCACCTCCCTCCTCTTTCCTTCCTTTCTCCCTCCCTCCCTCCCTTCCTTCCCACCATCCCTTTCCCATCTTCCCTCCTTTCCTTCCTTCCTCCCTCCTTCTTTTCCTCCCTCCCTCCCTCCCTCCCTCCCTCCTTCCCTTCCCACCCTCCCTCCCTCCTTTCCTTCCTTCCTCCCTCCCTCCCTCCCATTTATATCTACTGTACTCTTTATTAATACAGGCAGGGCGATATATTTTTACCTGTTCCATAAACAAGTTTGCGGAGATTCGGAATAGCCTGTTGCTGTCTCAAAAAGGCTTCGGCTGCCTTCTGGCTGAGGCCTTCTTTCCACTTCAGAGCCCCTGAAAGGGGAAAATATGTCGTTCCTTTATATAAATCAGATTAAACAATGATTTCCCCCCCCCCCGCCGCCATTGGTGAATTTTTTATCTGTGCATGTCTGCTGAATACACAAACAGGTGCACCTATTCAGACCTCCCGCTGCATTCATCGGGCTAATACCAGAGTAACTGGGCCCAGGACCTCAACCTTACTTTCCTTGCTAGAAAAGGCAAGGCAACTGTTGAAAAATATGAGACAGTTGCCCACCGAAGTGCAGCTGAAGAATGTTTTTTTTTTTTTTTTACAAACGTTTGAAGAAATTGACTCTGGCCAAACACCCTCAAAAGGAAATGAGTAGCTGGCCTAAAACATCTTCCAAACATCTTCCAAAAAAACAAAAAAAAAACCCAAAACAAAACAAAACAAGGATGTCCAAAGCATCTTTGGGACCACCAGGACCTGGAATGACTGAGAATCTCCCCAGACTTTTAGCCATGCACTTTGGGATGATGTGGGAGGATGAACAGATTTCCAGAAAATAAATAAATAAATAAATAAATAAATAAATAAATAAATGTGTGTGTGTGTGTGTGTGTGTGTGTGTATGTATATGTGTATATATATATATATATATATATATATATATATATATATATATATATATATATATATATATATATATATTGCAGGCTACAGGAACCCTTTGCACCACTCCGGTGACACAGATAAACCTCCAGGTGGCCTCAACGACTCTCTAAAAAGAAGGCAAATGACCAGCTGTCTGCAAGGAGTAGACAGCTAGTCCCACCATCCGGTCAGAGCTGAAGAAGCTTCTTCGGATGAGAAGGGAAACGTCTTCAAAAGAGAAACAAGGAAGTGCAGTTGCCTCCTGAAAAAAAAAAAAAAAAACACCTTTGGGCCCTAAAACATCACCACCACCATTTCAGGAGATTCAGAGATACCTACCGACTGTTTCTGAAGGAAAACCAGATGCCTCCTTATAGTCTTCGTCGTCCTTCAAGAGATCTTCCACGTCATCTTCATTCTTCAGCGACCCAGAATCTTGCATTTTATTGTCGGCGCTTTCTGGTTGAGTCTCTTCCTGGTCCAAGCCCTTGAGGTTCTCCTCCTCCTCCTCTGAGGTATCTTCTTCACTGGAGGATGAAGGTTCACCTATCTCTGATCTTGATACCCGTTTAGGGCTCCCGTTTTCAGCTGCTTTTTTAGCCAGCCTTCTGCCCTTCCTCATCTCTTGGTCTGTCGACAAAGGTCTACTAAACCGGGCCGCGTTTCCGGCGCTAGATTCGGAACCTGTTCCTTCCTCTTCCTCTCCGCTTCCATCGGCCTCTCCAAGCTCATTTCCTTCTCCATCCTCTGAACTCTTCTCAAGATCGTCGTCGCTGTCCGCAAAGGCGGGCAATTCGGTGAGTACCGCAAGTGCCGGGTCTTTTTTACGCCGCTTGGACGATCTCGGAAAGACAGTCTGGGGTAGACAATTGGGGTCCTCTTTGCGTTCCCCCTCGCTGTCATTTTGCCCCGGGTCCTCCTCCGCAGACATTCCCTCTTCCTCCTCGTCTTCCTCCTCATCTTCATCACTTCGGTCTTCGTTTTCAAACACCGCCTTCCGACGCGCCCTGCCCGTTCGCGGGTCGGTTTTCATTTCTTCTTGAGGCATCGCAAAAATGCTTCTCGGGTACAAAAAATGGGAAACCAGTTAAGCATCCGGGGAAGCTTCACGAACCTCTCGACGATAAAGTCAGCGTTTAAAACCCTTGACAATAGGGACAGTCCTCAACTTACAACAGTTCATTTGGTGACCGTCTGAAGTTACAGCGGCAGTGGAAAAAAGGGAGGGAGGGAGGGAGGGAGGGAGGGAAAGAAGAAAAGAATAGAAGATGAGGGAATGGGAGGGAGGGAGGGGGGAGAGAGGGAGGGAGGAAGGAATGAAGGAGAGAAAGAGGGTGGAAGGAAGGAAGAAATGAGAGAAAGGGAGGATGGAAGGAAGGAATGAAGGAGAGAAAGGGAGGATGGAAGGAAGGAAGGAATGAAGGAGAGAAAGGGAGGAAGTAAGGGAAAGAAGATGAGAGAAAGGGAGAGCGGGAGGGGGAAGAGGAAGAGGAAGGGAGGGAAGAAGGAAGGAAGGAATGGAAGATGAGGGAATGGGAGGGAGGGAGGGGGGAGAGAAGGAGGAAGGAAGGAAGGAGAAAGGGAGGATGGAAGGAAGGAATGAAGGAGAGAAAGGGAGGATAGAAGGAAGGTATGAAGGAGAGAAAGGGAGGATGGAAGGAAGGAATGAAGGAGAGAAAGAGGGAGGAAGGAAGGGAAAGAAGATGAGAGAATGGGAGGGAGGGAGGGAGAAGAGGAAGAGGAAGAGGAAGAGGAAGAGGAAGGAAGGAAGGAAGGAAGGAAGGAAGGAAGGAAGGAAGGAAGGAAGGAAGGAAGGAAGGAAGGAAGGGCTAGCTCCAAGACAAGCTCAGATCTTGCTGGCTTCATGGTCCTGTCTCTGCACAGGATAATGGTCAAGGTGTAGTCAAATCAAAATGGCAGCTGCAATGGTTGGGATCAAAGCTTTTCCTGTTTTTTATATTTGACACAGGGAAAAAATAGCATGGGGTACAATGCAGTACTGCAGGCTGACTCACTGCCCACAGCCAGCAGTTCAACCCTGAACGGCTCCAGGTTGACTCAGCCTTCCATCCTTCCAAGGTCGGTAAAATGAGGACCCAGATTGTTTGGAGGCCATAGGCTGACTCTGTAAACCGTTTAGAGAGGGCTGTAAAGAGGTGTGAAGCGGTATATAAGTCTCAGTGCTATTGCTACTGACTCAGCCTTCCATCCTTCTGAGGTCAGTAAAATAAGGACCCAGATTGTTGGGGGCCATAGGCTGACTCCGTCAAGCACTCAAGAGAGGGCCGTAAAACACTGTAAAGCGATATATAAGTCTCGGTGCCATTGCCACACTCAACCACTTTTCCACTTTCAATTCAGAGTAGCGCTGGAAGGGACACTGGAGGTCTTTCAGTCCAACCTCCCGCGCAAGCAGGAGATCCCTATGTCATTTGAGACCAACGGCTGGCCAGTCTCTTCTTAAAACCCTCCAGGGATGGAGCGTTCACCGCTTCTGAAGGATTGTGTGTGAAATCTACCGCTTACCTTTCGCTTTCGACCCCTTCGGTCTCTAAAGGCTGGGAGTCCAGGAAGAGGGAGACTCTGCTGGACGCCATTTTCGCATCGATGGTGGAATGGGCCGAGATGAGACTCTGGACGAGCTCGTGATTTGGTCTTCCTTCCTCCTGACGAATCAACAGCAATTCAGTCACTCTTTTCTAGAATGTCAGGTTTAACGAATGTATTTATCGCAGCCCTGCTTTAAGCAGCCTGCCAATGACCACGGAATATTCCCGGGAACCACGTAAATTAATATATGGCGTGCTAATTTATCATAGTGGTTTTTTGTATTCTCCTTAATGGAGCAATGAACAAGAAGGAATAAACAGGGAACGAAGCCCCGAGTCATACCTCCCTCTCGCGATGGGAGTGGCTTCCGCCGAGGTCAATATACACGGCATCTTTGTCGTACACCAAGCCCCCAACCCCGGAGAGGGGGGCGTAGATTAATTTCTCCTTCTCGTTTAAGCCTCGTTTCTTTTGATGCTCAGGAAGAGCACAAGGGTCTGGCAGGAAGCTGACATCGCTCACCGTGAAGTCCCCGACACCTGATGGGAGAGAAGAGTCAACGGCACCACATGGGCCTCGAAGCCATGAAGGCAGAGATGACATCAACACAATCTTAGATGGATTCAAAGGATGAAACGTAACATTTTAGAGCAGTGGTTCTCAACCTGTGGGTTGGGACCCCATTTGGGGTCGAACGACCATTTCACGGGGGTCACCAAACAATGCAGTCCGCCATTTTTTTCCCCCTTTTCCTTAGCTCTATTCTCTTGAATAGAGTCTAATTCTATTGGCTTTCAAAAGCCAATAGGAATTGTCCAGGCTGTCTCTGCCCTGCTGAGCCTACCAAAAGTCCCATTCTGCAAACGGGGCTGCACCAGTTGAGTAGTCCTCGACTTACGACCAGTTGAATAGTCCTCGACTTACGACCGGTTGGGGGGGGGGAGTCGCGGCATTAAAAAGGTTGAGAACCACTGCTTTAGATTTATCGCTGGAGCGAAGAAAGCGATTGTTTATGGAAAGGGGTTTAATTCTAACACTTGGCTTCCTGTTACGCCGAGTCGGGGCGGCGCAGTGGCTAGAATGCCGTAGTGCAGGCTGACTCTGCCCACTGTTAGCAGTTCAATCCTGACCGTCTCAAGATTGACTCAGCCTTTCACCCTTCTGAGGTTGGCTAAAAATGAAGACCCAGATTGTTGGGGGCAAGAGGCTGACTTTGTAAACCGTTTAGAGAGGGCTGTAAAGCACTGTGAAGCGGTATATAAGTCTAAGTGCTATTGCTACTCCTTCCTTCCTTCCTTCCTTCCTTCCTTCCTTCCTTCCTTCCTTCCTTCCTTCCTTCCTTCCTTCCTTCCTTCCATGGTTAGTAAAATGAGGACCCAGATTGTTGGAGGCAATAGGTTGACTTTGTAAACCACTTAGAGAGCTCTAAAGCACTGTGAAGCGGTATATAAGTCTAAGTGATACTGCTGCTACTCCTTCCTTCCTTCCTTCCTACCATGGTCAGTAAAATATGGACCCAGATTGTTGTAGGCAATAGGCTGACTTTGTAAACCACTTAGAGAACTCTAAAGCACTGTGAAGTGGTATATAAGTCTAAGTGCTATTGCTACTCCCTTCCTTCCTCCCTTTCTTCTTTTTCTTCCTTTTTCTTCCTTCCTTCCTTCCTTCCTTCCTTCCTTCCTTCCTTCCTTCCTTCCTTCCTTCCTTCCTTCCTTCCTTCCCTCCCTCCCTCCCTCCCTCCCTCCTTCCTTCCATGGTCAGTAAAATGAGGACCCAGATTGTTGGAGCAATAGGCTGACTTTGTAAACCACTTAGAGAGAGCTATGAAGCACTATGAAGCGGTGTATAAGTCTAAGTGCTATTGCTACCAACATTCTCTATCCTGTCTGTCAATTTCAATAATCTGTTGAGATACATACAGGCACACTTGTAAAAAGTGTTATCATTGTAATCTGCTTTGCCTTTTATACATGAATAACTCTCATGGAGATCTAAAAATGCAAAACAAATGTATGGATATCGTTTAATTTGCGTGGTGGCCTATCTCATAACAGGGACGCTGGGAGCTGAAGTTCACATACTTTAAAGCCGCTGAGGATGAAAGACACTGTTTTATGCAACTCTTATACGTAAGAGTGGCAACAACAACATCTTTTTTTTGTTTGTTTGTTTTCTGCAGGCTTGGGTGGAAGGCTGGAAATAGTTGGGCTGCTTTAAAGAACCGCAAAGAGGCATTCCGTCGATATAGTAGGCTCTAAGACTAAGTCCTTCTTCCAAATCCTTGTCAAACTTTCCGGTTTTCCACACCGGCCCCTTTTTCAAAGCTAAGGTCACTTAAGGACTCTTCACATTCTCCCCAGGCAGTGAGGAAGACTCTTAAAAAATACGTCCCTGTGGTCTGTAGACAAAACAGAGTAGAACAGAATGATTCTATCCCACCTGCCATGTGTATTTGGCTTTTGTTCTTCAAGTGGGCTCCTCTCAGATAACCATAAAGGGAAACTTTCCGGTCACACTTCGGATTAACCCGGATAAGCTCTGGGTTTGTCAAATCTTCCATCCTGCAGAACATAAGAAGATCAGGGTGAGAATGTTCAGGAGGAGATGGAAAACATTCTGTGTACGCTGATTTGGGGCGATAGTTGTCCGGTTGGCGAGATAGGGGGCGCATAAATAATAACACCGTACCATTCCTGATGGGTTAGCCTCCCTCTTACTACCTGGAACTCTGAATATTTTGCTATAGGATTCTATCAGCAAAGTGAACTTTTCCAGAGGCTCGTCTAGATTTGCCCAAATCCTCTCAAGCTACTAGACCCTAGGATGGGAATCATTTTTCATCTACTTTCATGCTATTAGCAAAGGAGGGAGGGAGGGAAGGAGGAGGGATAGGGAAGGGAGGAAGGTCAAGGAAGGGAGGAAGATCAAGGGAGGAAGGGGAGGTCAAAGAAGGAAGGTCAAGGGAGAGAGGGAGTGAAATCAAGGGAGGGAGGGAGGGAGGGAGGGAGGGAAGATCAAGGAAGGGAGGGAAATCAAGGAAGGGAGGGAAATCAAGGAAGGAGGGAGGTCAAGAAAAGGGAGGGAGGGAGGGAGGGAGGGAGGGAGGGAGGGAGGGAGGAAGGAAGGAAGGAAGGAAGGAAGGAAGGAAGGAAGGAAGGAAGGGAGGGGAGATCAAGAAAGGAAGGTGGGGGGTCAAGAAAAGGGAGGGAGGAAGATCAAGGGAGAAAGGGAGAGGAGGTCAAGGAAGAAAGGTCAAGGAAGGGAGGGAGGGAGGTCAAGGAAGGGAGAGAAGTCAAGGAAGGGAGGGAGGGAGAGAGGGGGGAGGTCAAGGAAGGGAGGGAGAGAGGGAGGTCAAGGAAAGGGAGGGAGGGAGGGAGGTCAAGGAAACGGAGAGAGAGGAAGGGAGAGAGGGAGGGAGGTCAAGGGAGAGAGGGAGGGAAGTCAAGGGAGGGAGGGAGGTCAAGGAAAGGGAGGGAGGGGGGTCAAGGAAGGGAGGGAGGGAGAGAGGGAGGGAGGGAGGTCAAGGAAGGGAGGGAGGAACATCAAGGAATGGAGGAAAGAAGGGAGGGAAGTCGAGGGAGGGAGGGAGGTCAAGGAAGGGAGGGAGGGAGGAACATCAAGAATGCAGGAAGGAAGGGAGGGAAGTGAAGGAGAGGGAGGGAGGGAGGGAGGTCAAGGAAGGGAGGAAGGGAGGAACATCAAGGAAGGGAGGAAGGAAGGGAGGGAAGTCAAGGAGAGGGAGGGAGGGAGGTCAAGGAAGGCAGGGAGGTCAAAGAGGGCCAAGGAAGGGAAGGAGGAGGAAGGGGAATCAACAATAAATCACCTGTCCGCCAAGATGTAGGGATGAGTTGTCTGCCAAGTCAGGGGGCGGAATTTCATCACAGAAATAAACCGCCCCAGATTGTGGACTTCCTGTTTCTGATAGTCTCCGTGCACCATCCCGGAAAGGTAGAATAATTTGGCACCCTGAATTTAAAAATTAAATGAATACATAGAACGCACGTACGCTCAAGTTGCAATTGAAGCAATACACTGCCCTTCCTTAACCGTTGTTGTTGTTTTAATCCAGAATGGAATTTCTTTCCTTGCATACAGGATTAGTTTTAACTACCGTGTTAAAAACTCGATTGGGTAACGCGGAAATTCGAAATGAAACGCCACTTGGCAGGTATACGCACACCACAGCATTGTCACAAAGAAGGTTGAAGTCACATTGTTAGAAGGACGTTGGCAAAAATGATGCCGGTTTCACGGGCCGTTTTATACTACCCAGGTAGTCTTTGTTTAGCGACTTGACTCACTTAGCCACTATTCCCAGTTACGGTGGTGAGGTTTAAGTAACTTTACACCTATGGTTTGTATTTACAACCCTCGCAGGGCTGTAAAGCAAAGGAAAAATGAAGTTAGATCACCAACACAGCCGTGGTTTCTCGCTTAATGGCTGAGCCGTGGTGCCAACCCTGGTTGCTAAACAAGAACGACCTGTTTCTAATTTGTATCTCTGCCTTCGTGCAGCTAGAGACCCACTGAATGATATTGTACTAATCATAACAGCCTTTTTGGTCTTCTTGCCTCATTGCTCGCCTCCCATTTACAGGTAAAAGAAAAAACAGGTGTTACACCTGCCCCGGTCCGATTCCTTAGGACAGAGTTCCCAATGTTTCCAGCCTTGCAGACTGGGGGAGAGGGGTTGAGGAGGGGGGGGAAGAGAGGGTTCACGCAGGCAGCCAGCCAGCGTGCGTCCGCAACTCCCATTTGTGCAAGCGACATACACACGCGCCTGTCGTCCACGTGAATGGAGCACGCATGCACGGGCTCACCGCTGGTCGCACAAGTTAGGATGCACGCTTGTGCTCGCCATCCGTTTACATGGCCCAGTTGCAAGCTGCTCGTGGACCACAAGTTGGCCGCGGCCCACAGGTTGGGGACCCCTGCCTTGGGAAAGAAAAGCCTTCGACTCCATTTGGTTGAAGCAAAGGGTTCTTTTACTAGGGATGTTGGCTGCCGTAAAGTCGAGCCAGCTCTGAAATTTACCGTGTTTGATAGATACAAAAATAAGGTGTAGGTTTGCCCTTAGCCCATCCCATCCCCCGAGCAGGGACCAGTCTGTTTCCAGCCAACCAGAGCTCCCCTGCATGTTTTGAGATCTTTTAAGAAGTTTGGGGGTGATCCTGGCTGTGGGATGCTGGTACAAACAGGATCTGTCTGGCCTGGTCTTTTTTCACCCGTCATTCCTCCCCGCACCGTCCCGATTTCCTATCACGTAGACACAAAGCTTCATTGCCCTTTCATCCTTCCTGTTCTGTCCCAGCCTACGTGAGTCCTTGTTAATTCACAAGGACCAACCCCTCTTTTAACAGGTAGGCTGAAAATGCAGGAAAAACAAACCCCTTTTATTAATTAGGTGCAGACCTGCAAAATGTCCCAAAAGCAAAGGCAAAAAAAAACCACGATGCAAATGGAGAATTGTCTAATGGCAGAGCACAATTCAAACGGAGAATTGTTCACAGGCAAGGTGAACAGAATCTGATTCCATGAAACTTGAGTCCTTTGCAAGCGGTTGCCCTCAGCAACCAGCACCGCCCACACAGTCCCTTTTTATTATGCAGCCCCCAAGGCGTGGCTTCTCAATGCCTTCTCCTCCTCCCTTGGAGCCGCCCCACGGCCTCCCTCTGTCCTGCTCTTGTTGCCTGGTCTGCTTTTGCGAGTGTCTTGAGGCTGACTCAAGCTTCCCCTCTACTCGTGCCCAGGCTGAGTCCTGGAGCTCATCAGAGCCTTCCTCTGACTCTGATGGCTCTCCAGCCCCCCCCCCCTCCTCCTCCTCCTGATTCCCTGGACTCAGCTGCCGGGAGCACAGGCTGGCACGGAATCACAACAGATAGATATAAAAATAAGATGTAGGTTTGCCCCCAGCCCATCCCTTCCTCTGCCAGGGACCAGTCCGTTTCCAGCCAACCAGAGCTCGCCAGGATGGTTTGAGATCTCTAAGAAGTTTGGGGGAGATCCTGGCTGTGGGATGCTGGTACAAACAGGATCCGGCTGCCCTGGTCCTTATCACACCATCCTGATTTCCTATCATGTAGACCAGTGGTTCTCAACCTGTGGGTCGGGACCCCATTTGGGGTCGAATGACCATTTCACGGGGGTCGCCAAACAATGCAGTCCGCTATTTTTTCCCCCTTTTCCTTAGCTGTGCTACTCCCTTTTATTCTATTGGCTTTCAAAAGCCAATAGGAATTGTCCAGGCTGTCTCTGCCCTGCTGAGCCCGCCAAAAGTCCCATTCTGCAAATGGGGCTGCACCAGTTGAGTAGTCCTCGACTTACGACCGGTTGGGGATCGCGGCATTTAAAAGGTTGAGAACCACTGATGTAGACACAAAGCGTCATTGCCCTTTCATCCTTCCTTTTCATCCTTCCCTCCCCACTTCTTTTGATGGCAGGATGCCCAGGCAGAGCTGACACAAGGGAGGAATAAAATGATCCCCCCCCCCAGATGAATAAAATGGTACCTCAACTATGCAGATGACAGAATATGCAGGTTCTTCTTGTCACGTGCATTTGTTAAATCTCTGGTTTTAAATGAGATTATAAAGTCACCCCCCACTTGGTTTTCTTTCCTTTTCGATACATTTCTCCCGACCCATTTAAAGCAGGTTGATGCACATCGTACCTGGTAGACCTCGGTCCAGAACCGATGCTTTAATCTCTTTTTGGTCTTCTTGAGCTGCTTGTTGTTTTTGAAGCTATCCAGGTGGGTCAGAACGCCCATGATTTTGGGGAAACCGTGGACCTGGCAGATGTTCAGGAATTCAAAGGTTTCCATTTCAAATCCAAAACTGGCGTCGATGAGCATCAAAGCCTGAGAGAGAAATTGAAAAAAAGAAAAAAAAATCTTGGGATGGGGGGAACAAACTACTGCACTTTAAAAAAAAAAAAATCTTACTAAAACATGCCAAAACAGGTAGTAACTACTGATAAAGGTCAACTTTCGTGCACTTATCAATTTAATGTATTGGTAGAACTTAAATTAGATTCCCTTTTTTTCTCTCCCATCTTTAATTTATTCTGCTTCCTATGTACCATTTTTCGGTGCTTTGCGTAACGTTCCTTAGACCAAAAAAAGGATCAGCAGCATAGATCTGTTTATGAAATCTGTTCTCAGTGTGTTCTTCTTCTCAAAAGAAAAAGTCATTTGGATCAGGGATTTCCAACCGTGGCAACGTTAACGACTTATGGACTTCAACTCCCAGAATTCCTCAGCCAGCTGAGGAATTCTGGGAGTTGAAGTCCACAAGTCGTTACGTTGCCAAGGTTGAAGACACTTGACTTAAGCAATGATCTGGCCTTACTCTATCGGACTTTCCTAGCTATTAAAACCAATGGTTGTATTCTGGCTTTCAACAGACATCTCATTTTAATGGATGCTGATGAATGTACATTTAAGCACGGTTATAAGTCACTTTTTACAGTGCCTTTGTCACTTCAAACAGTCACTGAACCAACTGTGATTAACTGCTAGTTAACTGCTAGTTAACGATGCTAGTTAGCTTCTTCAATCTATTTTTTTTATTTTGAGGAAGCCTCTCTCTGTCTCGTTAGAGACCACATAACACTTACCAGATCAGCAACTTTGGCAAGATCAATCATCACGTTGATGTCACACTCACATTCAATTATGGTTAGCCGACGTTTTTTACCTGCCCACCAAAGACGAGAAACAGAACAAGGAATATGGTTAGACTTGGTTAAAAATACAAAGATGTGTTGTTTTTTTTTCAATTGCAATCTAGTGTTTAAAAAAAACTGGTTATATGCAATTTATTTATTTTTTTACCTGATACAATGGTTACAGGGCCTTGAATGTCGACTAACTTCTGCCGTGTGAAATTCTTAATGAGGCATCTTATCAAGGTGCTTTTCCCAACCTTGGGAGGGCCCACCACGACCACCACCACTGGAGGGGGCTCTAACGGGGTCCGGTCGACCACCGGAATGTGATGCTTTTTGGTTTTCAAATCCTGGGCCCTGTTTTCAGAATGAGAATTGCAGGCGAGTTAAAAACAAAAAAAATCATTCGATTAAAATTAGAACACAATAGAGCTGGAAGGGACCTTGGAGGTCTTCTAGTCCAGCCCCCCGCTCAAGCAGGATTATAGTGGCTGCATTCAGAGGTAAGACAGGTAGTCCTTCACTTACGACCACAACTGAAGCCATTTCCGTGGCTAAACGAGACATTTCTTAAGTGACCTTTGCCTTCCTTCCTTAAGTGAGCCGAGGTGGCGCAGCAGTTAGAGTGCAGTACTGCAGGCCACTTTAGCTGACTGTGTTCAGCAGGTCAGCGGTTCAAATCTCACCGGCTCAAGGTTGACTCAGCCTTCCATCCTTCCGGGGTAGGTAAAATGAGGACCCAGATTGTTGGGGGCAATGTAAATATATATATAGACATTGCTTACTGGTGTACGCCGCTTAGAGAGTGCTTGCACTTAAAGCGGTATATAAGTCTCATAAATAAATAAATAAAGTGAATCACTGCAGCCGTTGAGTTACTAACATGGTTTGTTAAGCCAATCTGGCTTCCCCCTTGACTTGGCTTGTCAGAAGCCGCAAAAGGGGATCGCGTGATCCCGGGACTCTGCAACCGTCAGTAGCCAAGCGTCTGAATTTTGATCACGTGACCGTGGGAATTGCTGCCGTTGTGCAAAAGTCGTAGGTCGCTTTTCCCAGTGCCCTTGTCATTTCCAACAGTCACTAAACAAACTATTGTTAAGTCACAAACTACTTGTAGTAGGTCCACGTTTATTACTAGGACCAAGAGTGTTTTCCAGAAATTTTCACATGCAATGAATATAGTACGTACTCTTCATTTGAAAATCCAAATTTGAAAAGAAGGGGTGATTCGTTTTACAGTGTTTCAATACCGGCAGTTAAGATTCCATGACAAACAGGGAGCGAGGAGGAAAAACTGAGGCTCTCACTCTTAGACTGCAAAGTTTCGGCAATAAGCTGCCGTTCAGATGAATCTTATTTTTAAAAAAAAGAATACAGAAATGCAGAAACAAACACACCCAAAAAAAACAAACCCTAACATGATTTGTTTAGCTTAGTAGGTTAGCTTTTACTTAAATTCCATCCTTTAGTCAGGCAGAAAAAAAGTTCACCTCATCTAATAAGCTTGGGGTCTGGTCACATTCCACCCCAAATTATATGATGTATCCTCGGGGTCCTGCACCCTATAGGGAATCAGTGGGATACGCCTCAAACCTATAGAGAGAGAGCATCCACCTGTATAGAAAGCCTTCATCTACCTAATTTAATTAATTTCTCTCATTGTGTTGTAAAGCATGGCAAACTATAAGCTTGCCCAAACTATAAGCTTGCCCATGGCAAACTATAAGCTTTGTCCTCGACAGAGGGTATTTATTTGTTTTTATTTATTTGTATCCTGCCTTTATTCTTACAAAAAAAAAAACCCTAAACGGATCTTATTTGCTATAACACCCTTTGCCATCCCATCCCCACAGGAGCCAATAATGGCAATATAGTTAGCAGAGCCAATCTAGTTGTGAAGTCACCTGTGGAACGATCTGGCCATGCGCACTGCAGACTGGACCGCAAAAGCCTTGGGGTTTCTCTTCCTGGCGTCCTCTTCATCTTCAATTCCTAAATCTTTCAAATGCCGCTTCTTTTTCTTGCCAGCCTTGGGCCCGCTGTGTTTCTTGCGATGTTGTTTCTGGTTGTTCTCCTCCATCTCTCCCCCCTTCTGTCCAGCAACCATGTGAGGCAAAAAGCTCGTTTTTCACCAAGATACTGAGATAAAGTCAAGGAAAAGAGCGTTAAACATGATACAGGCCATCATGCGAGCAGAAGGTGTGTCATTTCTACATGACAGCTTACAGAAGTCCTCATCTCTTCTGTCTAAAGATCTTTGTTCTGTAAATTTTATAAATTAGCAGAGGGCCCAGCAGAGAGTTTTATTCAAATGTTGTCCAAAGTCACTTCCCCAGTCATGCAATTTTACAAATTCAGTGTAAACTTGGGAGAGTCCCCATGAAAACGTAGAAAGAAACAAAACATATAAAGCAGCCACTTTCACAGTATCCTTTCCCAGTTCAGCATCCTCCATGGTCCCAGTTTGCATGCTGGGAGGTGAGGAAGGAAACAGCATTTCCACACTTAGCTTAGGAAAGACATACTGTATATCAATTTACTTTCATATCCACATATATACAGGATGTGCCCAAAAAAGACCAGGTTTGGGGGCTGTATATCACACACACACACCTATAGATCAATCGCAAGATTTTTTTTTCGCCCCAATAAAAAAATATTGCTATAATTAGGAGCATTCAAAGACCAGGGGTCAAAGCAGCAAGGTGGTGTTCAGAAGAAAATGGCAACCAACTGGAATGTGTAATACACATTATATAATAAATTCTGTGTGGGGTCTGACTTTTGGTGCACCCTATATGCTATACATAAATTATACTGTATAAAATTGTAAACAAAATGATAGAGCGATATAGATAGATGGATGGATGGAGTAGGTAGGAAAGTAGATAGGGTAGGTAGGTAGATAAAAGAGATAGATAGATAGCTAGATACCTAGATAGATAGATAGCTAGATAGATAGACAGACAGACAGACAGATAGATAGATATAGATGGATGGAATGGATGATAGCTAGATAGATGGAATGGATGATAGATAGCTAGATAGCTAGCTAAATAGGGTAGGTGGGTAGGTAGATGATAGATATATGATGGATGGATGTAGGTAGGTAGGTAAGGTAGGTAGGTAGATAAGAGATAGATAGATAGATAGATAGATAGATAGATAGATAGATAGATAGATAGATAGATAGATAGATAGATAGATAGATGATATAGGAAGAGAGAGTGGATGAATAGATAGATAGATAGATAGATAGATAGATAGATAGATAGATAGATAGATAGATAGATAGATAGATAGATAGATCAATCGATAGCTGGCTGGCTTGCTGGCTGGCTGGGATAGGTAGATAGATGATAGATGGAGAGATGGACAGATAGATGATGATAAAGATATAGATAGATACAGACATAGAAACAGAATAGAGATAGATAAGAGATACAGGAGACAGACACAAATTAGAGATAGACAAACAAGACAGACAGATATGTGAGAGAGACAAATTAAAGATAGGTTGATACATGATAAAGATATAGGCACGTAGACAGAGAGGCGATAGATTACACCTATAGATACACACAGACACAGACACCTATGAAAAGCATATATGGCACCCCGACGGCCACCGTGAGGAGCCCAGGAGCTGTAACGGCTCCCTCCGAGCTTCTCTAAGGGCTCAGCCCGGCGAGGGAGACACCCGCGGGGCCCCTTCCAGGACGGCACCTGCACCACCCTCTCCCCGGCCCGCCAAGCACATCATCCCCACGTCCCAACCCGCATTCAAACAACGCGCCGACACGGGTCGAGCTTTACCCTCGACTCAGTCTTTGGCTGCCCGGCTCCCTTCCGCTCTCCCCACGTGGAGCCCCGACCGGAAATGCCCTCTTTTCGGTCCGTCTCTTTTAAAGCGTCCCACCCGGAAACCGCGGCTCGCGTTCTCTTCGTTCCGCACGAGGGGGAAGATTATCCAAGGGGGGGGGAAACGGACACCGGGTTACCATAGTAACCGGCAGAATTGAGGCTTCTTTCTCGCCGGTTAGCTTGTGCTCTGCTGTCCCCTCCTGGTGGGAGCCGGTATTACAGACAGATCCAGTGCTTGGTTGTTAGTTTTGTTTCGTTTTTTTAACAATCTGGGCAACTTCGACAGGAATTCTGGAAGTTGAAAGTTCACCCTTCTTAAAGTGGTCCAGGTTGGAAAAATACTTGGAAGAGTAATTTGTGCAGAGTCGGGGGCATTTGCTTGAAAGAATGAGTGCAGTTCTCCCCTGCAAAAGGATCCACGGTGTCAAAGAGCATGCAAATTTTGCAGCTCTGCAGGGCTGGGGGTGACCTGCGACCTCTAAAAGTGAGGAAAAAGGAAGAATACAGACTAGGACCCCCCCCTTCCCCCCTTCCCCTTCAACCAGGAGGTGTCTTTTCCATTGTAATTTTTTTGCTCCTGGAACGGAAAATCAATCTGGCCACCTGTGCAATTTCTCTGGGGAGAAATTTTGGAAATGTTCTCTCTTGGTGGTCTCCCATCCAGACACTGCAATCAGCCAAAGAAGACGTTTCTATTTCCACTTGGAAACCAATTTGCAGCTTTGCTTGTGATGTGTGTGGGGGGGGAATGAAACTTTGACTTTGGATTCTGCTGATTAGATAGGTTTCTTACATACTGTATATGTACTGTATATATTAACATATAAAAGTAAAAAGATAAGATAATCTTTATTGTCATTTTTTTACACATCAAAAAATGAAATTTAGTTGCCCGCTCTCAAAGTGAAACACATACATGACACACACCTAGAACAATTAACCAGTGGAACAACCTGCCTCCAGAAACGGTGAATGCTCCAACACTGGAAGTTTTTAAGAAGAGACTGGACAGCCATTTGTGCGAAATGGTATAGGGTTTCCTGCCTGAGCAGGGGGGGTTGGACTAGATGACCTCCAAGGTCCCTTCCAACTCTTTTCTGTTCTCCAAAGCACCAGAAGGCCAGACAAGAAGCAACGGATGGAAACTAATCAAGCAGAGAAGCAACCTAGAACTAAGGAGAAACTTCCTGACAGAACAATTAACCAGTGGAACAACTTGCCTCCAGAAGCTGTGAATGCTCCAACACTGGAAGTCTTTAAGAAGAGATTGGACACCCCATTTGTCCGAAATGGTGTAGGGTTTCCTGCCTGAGCAGGGGATTGGACTAGATGACCTCCAAGGTCCCTTCCAACTTTTTATTATTATTATTATTATTATTATTATTATTATTATTATTATTATTATGGATCATCGCACAGTCAGCCAGATGTTCAGACTGGATTTGACATTTTGTCTACCTATTGAGTCCTTACCCAGGGATATATTATTATTATTATTACTATTAATATTATTATTATTATTACTATTATTATTATTATTATTATTATACTATATACAACATACGGCTGTACATTACTATCTTACTGTACTATACTAAAAAGAATCAGAAGTCATTTTTTTGATTTTTTCCCCTTTTACTGTTCGCTTTTTTCTTTTTTCTCCCTTACTTTCCCATTATTTTCATTTTCCTTTGTATTTTATATTTTGATAAACAAATAAAAAATGAAAATAAAGACCTCTCTATGTGAATACATTGCTTCTCCTCCCTCATTGCTCCCTGCATCTCAACTCGTCTTGCCTTTAGAAAAATTATAAAACACAGCTGTAAATGTCCATTCTGTATAATAATAATAATAATTTTATTGACCTTTTGTGCCTCCCACCTTCCGACAATTCAAGTTGGCTCCTAAAAGGCAAAAAAATTACAATAAAAACAGTAAAAGATATTTGTCTTTTAAGTTGCTGGCCTTTATTATCTTTGGGAGGAATAAAAAGGGCAGTAAATGTATTTCCTTTTCCTAAAAAATATATTTTTGTGAAAGACAAGTAACAAAATAGGACGCATCCATTCCATAAATGGAAAAAAATTCTTTAATGTAAATAAAAAATACTCTGACAAACATTGCAATGATTAAAGAAAACAAAGGATAAAAATAAGAAAGGCCAGTAAACATAATATCCTTAAAAGAGTAATTAAGATCTAAATTTCTAATTAAAGCCATACAGAAAACATCTTTCTTCTTCTCATTTGCAGACTTATAAAGATATTTCAAAAATTAAATACATCAAAAGAATAATATGCTTTCCCGACATAATATCATTCTCTTGGTCAAGATCCACACTTAATCAAGCAATATTCTTCATAATATATTTTTAAAAATTATATTTGAGAAAGACAATGTCTCATTTACAGCTTTTAAATTCCAATAGAAAAAGAAGGATTTGTTAAGAGAAACTCAATATAGCAGTCATACTTAGAAACCTTTCACACAGAGAAAGAGACACAAAGACATTGTTATACAAATTAAATATATAGAGATATATTTGTTTGTTTTGTTTCTTAATCTCAACAGACAGCAGGGACTGGGCCAGGTAAAGGACAAGGATTGAATTAAGACTTCATTAACTGGGCTGGGAAATAAATACAGAGATTTGAAACTTTTTTTTACCTGGAATCAGTTTGCAGCAGATTTTTGCTTATGCTCTAATGATTAAACACAATGAAAGGTTTTGCCCCCAGCCCCATTCTGCAATCTATTATCTACATTTTGCAAATTTGCAGAACCCGGCAGAGTTGAGACAATAGGTTATCAGCAGCCATTGTAAGTTACAGTCTACGTCGATTCATCCACGAGTTTTTAAAGGCTGTAGGATTACTCAAGAGTTTATCTGATTTATAGCCGAGTTTAAAATGAACTTTGAAAAGAAAAAGAAAAAAAAAGCACGGTTGTCTAATGATTGCTGTAAGACGCCACACCACATGTTCCCTTTTCAAAGGAAATGTAACAAAACCATAGAGATTAAAAAGTTTTCTTGTTTTTTTTTAAAAAAACTGCCAGCTATCTTTCTTTGTTCAATGCAGGAATCATTTATCCTTTTATCCAGGTAATCACACTGTTCCCTCTGGGGAAAGACATTTTAGGAAATGTTGTCATAAAGGAATAAGAAATGATAAGCCAAAGAAATTAAGATGGAGGAGGAGGAGGAGGAGGAGGAGGAGGAGAAGAAGAAGAAGAGGAGGAGGAGGAGGAGGAGGAGGGGAGGAGGAGGAGGAGGAGGAGGAGGAGGAGGAGGAGAAGAAGAAGAGAAAGAGGAAGGAGAAGGAGAAGAAGGAGAAGGAGGAGGAGGAGGAGGAGGAGGAGGAAGAGAGGAGGAAGGAGGAGGAGGAGGAGAGGAGGAGGAGGAGGAGGAGGAGGAGGAGGAGGAGGAGGAGAGAGGAGGAGGAGGAGGGAGAAGGAGAAGGAGAAGAGAAGTGAAGAAGGAGAAGGAGAAGGAGAAGGAGAAGGAGGAGAAGAAGAAGAAGAAGAAGAAGAAGAAGAAGAAGAAGAAGAAGAAGAAGAAGAAGAAGAAGAAGAAGAAGAAGAAGAAGAAGAAGAAGAAGAAGAGGAAGATTGCTATGCCATAGTCTCTATATGACCAAACCACTTTAGTGTACTTATTTCTCCTGGCCATTCACTTTTCTGTTCAATCTACATTTGCTAAGCACCCATTCACTCTTAACCCCTCTCTCTTTTAAGTACCCCATTCTCTCAGTCTTCAACTTGCCCTTTCAGCTCTGACCTGACATATGACCTCTCACTTCCTTACACCAATTAGGCAGAAGATTAACCTTCTTACATGCACAATAGGAGGAGAGGCATCTTGGTTTAGGATAGCAGGACAGCAGAAGGCATCTTGTAGCACTTTTCCCAAGTAACCAATGCTACTAAAAGCCGAAGCTTTCATGAGCTCCAAACTTGTCTGCCTTTTCATAAATGGTTTAGTCAGAAAAGATGCCACCCGTCTACTTCTGTTTTTTTTTTTACTCTATACGTGGAATGAGAAACAAATCTTACGAGTTTACCAGGCAGATGGCCCAGGGCACAAAGCTGTTACAGAATCCTTCCAAAACATTACAATTAAAAGATGGGGAAGAAGGGAGCAACATGCACCCTGAGTGGGAGGGGGGGGAAAGAACTTATTTTTCTCCATCGCCATTGGGATCCAGAGGGGGATCTGGACTCCCAGTCCACAGAGCCTCTGTGGACTGGGACAGTGGATCCAACAGAGATGCTGTTTTGTGGTGTGGAGGGATCTGCTTCTTTGGCTTTTTCCCAGAGATTAAAAGGTTTGGAGGAGTCTCCACTGGTCTGCGCTGAGAGGTCCAGATAGACCATGACCTCCTCCTGCTGACCACTTTCTCCATGGTGGATAGGTTTAGGTTTTCTTGCTCTTCTATTCTGAAACCAAACCTGGAAAAGAGGATTGAGAGAAAAACAAGCTTTGCTATTTCAGAGCCAAGACATTATGGGGTTAAAAAAAGCAGCCAAGGGCCACAAGAAGTCAAAGAGAAGATCTGGTGCTCTCTGAGCTGAGCTGGTAGCAAATATTTCATTACCCAACTAGGTAACGTCACCAGTAGGAGTTGGTGGGTAATGAAATGTCTGCAAGGAAAGCAACCAAGCTGAGAGAGACCACAACCTCCACAAAGATTGACTTCACAATACATAACCAAAGGGCCTTCTCACCCGTATATGCAATTAATGCATTCCTTACACTTTTCAACACTTCCTTGAAGTCCCTGTGGGCTGGGGTGACTTGCAAATTTATTTGTGAACACACACCTGGGGGGGGGAGAAGGATCTGTTTTTCTCCCTTGCAGTTCTCCCTACTCAGGACTGAAAACAACATTGTGTTGTACAGGGGTTGCAACCAACAGAAAAAATCTTATCCAGGAACCTAAAATTGAACAGAAGTACATTACAATTAACATTACAATGAAAAGATGGGGAAGAAGAAAGCAAGATGCACACTGTGGGTGGTGGTGGTCTTGTTTTAATCTTTTAACAACTTCCAGAG